AAGTAGTTTACCTTCACTTCATGGAGTTAGGTATGATTAGTTGCAAAGGATAGAAATCTTCTTGCCTCTAATGGCCAATGCATATTTATCTATTGATGCACATAGTAAGGGGAATAATGTGATACAAAACACTTCTAAGTATAATACCACTCTACTACAACTGCTACCTTGCCTCAAATAGATGAAGAAAACTACCGTTAAACCTGGATAGGGTCACCTCTCGATTCCGGTTAAATATGGACAATAGAAGAGTTGATACGGTTTAATAAATTCACAGGTAATCCTGGGATTTTCATTCTCTCCAACACTCGACAAGGGTTTCCAAAAATCAGTTATTTTGCATACTATTCACTTGCATTTCCCGAAACCAAAAAAACCATCCTTGTGGCTTTTTGTTATCCACAACTGTCCGCGTCTTTGAGAGGAAGTAATCCTTTGTAAAAAGCAACGTTGAGATGTGCAGTACATCGCATTCCCGGAGTGATTTGGACCATCTTTTATACAGATTAAAAACAATAGTACACCAAGTGAGCGATTTCTCGTAGGGCTTTTACTTCTTGCATTATTGATTTCAAGTTTAGCTCAGGTAATTGTCTGGATGTATTTTCTGCTGTCTTCGAATTTTTTCTCAAAGAGATGCGAATATACACTACTCTTAAATTTACTGGGTAAAGTTGTGAATAGCACAATATTCAGCTCCTTTATCTGCTCAATAAGTGGCTGTATACGATTTGTGAAAGACATCAGTGTTCATCCATTGTTTGAAGATTATAACGAATCGTTTTGATGGGGGCTGCAGCCCATTTGAATCAAATAAAGATATGAGCAATCTGCTTAATTTTGTGGTGTATTTTTGTGTGCGTGTGGGCGTGGGTGTAGTCAATGTAGTCAATGAGGGCTCGCTAAAGTCACAGGAATCAACCTGAAGGATTCTTTGCTCCGTATATTAATTAGTGGAGAGAATCATTGAATCAAGAAGTTCGGACCTATTGTTTCGCTGGATTCCAATTTTTTTGGTAGTTATTATTTGCTCGGATCTCTCGCCTGGAAAATTGATTGTACATCCTCACACTATTGGCCAATTAAGGTGGGGTTGAGTGTATCTATAGGCTACGGCTTTGCAAATTGAATAGTTATGTACACATTTTCTGAGTCCCTAATCCCCTTGTTAGGATGGTCGGTTACGTGTTTTGTTAATTTACAACTGGTGCTGTTATCTAGGCGACGTATTTCGCTAAGTGAGTGTGCTGTAATGCGGGATCTCAGAGTTATAAGCAATTCAAGAGGAAATTTCACTAATGCGATAGGCATTAGGAACAGTATATTTATCAACGAAATCCATTTGAAATAAGATTGGTTTCAAACAGCTCATGAAACTGTGAAATCTATTAGCCAAATGGGTGGCATCGGATAGATAAACTAGGAGCACAAATCGCTTATGTTCTCGCCCAACTGAATTTTGACAATTTGGCATGAACGCACTCACACGATCTCTTCCGTGCGTCACAAACGCCTGCAAATCCTGTCGGATCAGAGCCTGATCAATCGGTTCCATATTGCGAATCAAATGTTCAATTTGTTGCGTATCCGAGTGCCGCGTTCGACGAACTTTAAAATCTCTAAATTTGGAATAAATTCGTCCACAGAAAAATGATTCTATTGTGAAATTGTAAAATTGAAATATCAAAGCCCATGGGAAAGAGATTTATTTGAGCCAAGTTTCACTGAATGCCACCAAACTCAGTGCCTTTGTGGTTGTTAAAAATTGGGTAGGTAGCTGCAATTATTGTTTGCCTACTCAAGTTGTATTGAGTAGACAAATGATTACTGAAGAAAAAGATTTATCTTTGGGCGTTGTATCGACTTGTTTAGAAAAATTAATCATGTCACAGGTGCGTCATCTACCCCAATTATCGTTGAACTCTTGCTGTTTCACGTTTACCAATCTCGTGCGTCATTATATACGAACTACCCTGGATCCGTTCCCCCACCCGCGTTTGGTGCCAATTCATTATCATCTCGTCCACTTTATGTTGATCTTCATATTTGATCGTTTGATTCATTTGCTTAGCGGACTGCATTGTTCCATAGGATCCCGTGAACCATTTGTGTGCCTTGCATTGACCAATGACTGCGCTTCATTATTGAGCACTTGCGATTGGCGTTTCTATCCCTTAAATTGTCACGTTTCTGTGCATAGTTTGCATTCCTTTTGGTGACCGCTCCGCAGGTGTTTTGTTCTGCGCCTTGACCCGCTTTGTATCTTGTTCTTGTACCGCGGAGACCTGATTGGCCCACAATTTGAGGTATGGTACATATTTATACACGTAGATTGCCGACTTCTCGTTATCTGGAATCGAACTTGGGGTTCGTATCTATGAGTCACTCAACCACTGGACGACAGTCCGGTACAGGCATCTAAAGACATTTAGTTACATTATTTCTCATTCTTTCCTTGGTTTGGTTCGCCTAACTCAATCATGCGTAAAATGACACTCTGCATATTTTCCCCCTCAAATGGATGCCAAAATCTCTAACTGTTTTACGATGTTCACAATCAAGAATTGTTGCATTATTGTTTGTATTATTATTCGTAATGCATCACAATAAATATCACAATGTATAGATATTCACGAACTCAAATCGTCCATTCACGACTGAGCCGTACACACGGCGTGCGAACGATATTATTTACGTTCTTAACACGACATAACGAACAAAAGAGCTGTTGAACAAGTTCACTCGCCAGATTCACTTTAGAAGTGGAAAACAGCAATAAACCGGTATTTTTAGACGTCTGTTTGAGACGTAGATCGGACAGCTCGGTGCAACGATCAGAGCATGGGGATGTGACTTGCAATAGACAACAAATCTATTTTCGCAGCTTTGTACCGACCAAAGTCAAGAGAAATTAGATGCGCTGTCTAGCGGGCAAGGCAAGGACGATTTATGATGAGGACAATAGAAGAAGAGTTCAGGTTCTAAGCACTACCTTCTCACACAATGACTATCCAGAACCACTCTACAGCAAGATGATTCAGTACAGCTGTGAGGAAGAACGAGGTCAGAAAGAAGTCAGTATACCTTGCCTTGCCATTCAAAGGGGATACAGCAGAGGTAATACGGAGGAGACTATCCGATTCTGTCAGCAAGACCTTCTATGCAGTAAAGCTCAATGTTCTGTTCATGTCAAAATAAATTGTGTTCAGGACTGCAGAACAAAGTACCGGATTCTGCTGTCTCATTTTGTACGTACTCATTTACGTGTTCTTGTCGAAGAACAGCGTACACAGACCGCACGGTCAGGCGTTTGCTCGAACGAATCGGGGACCACCACTTCGCTTGGCTAAATACAGGAACGATTAGGTCACTCACTAGTGCAGTGGTTTCCCACCCAGCTGGAATAAATCACTTTGTAAATATGACTGAGTTATTCCCCCCCCCTGTAGAGGGGTTGAGGTCGACTATCAAGGCAGGTTTTCTGTCGGATGTGGGAATTCGTCTACTCGTTCCCCTCTGTGCGCCCAAAATCAATTTGTGCAGGGCTTAAAGTCCCCTGGTCCACCCCATACCCACCCCATATCTCAAATAGTTTCGAAAATCGAATGACCTAACAAACATTTATGTGACCGTCGCGAATTGCATATCCGGTTTGAATGTGAAATTAGCTCCAAATAGTTCATGATGTTAGTTTCCGTTTTCCAAAAACATTTTTTATAGTTGAGTATTAATGTAGATACATTATGGTATTTATTGTGATATGTTGGCGTGATTACGAATCACTGAAAACGAGCCTGTCCGCCACTCTCCGTTTTATTTGAAATGTGCTCAGTAACACTGTTTACACACAGACCATACATATGTGCAGAAGGTGAGTGGATGCATGCGTATCATTGTTTCAAACTGTTGTGACCGCCCAGGATTTAACTCGGTACTGGATTTCCAACGGCTTGTCTTCCGGTAACGTTTTTTTCTCGTCCAGATGGTAATTCCACAGGTAGTGAAATACAACATAGCTGGAAGCGTGTTGAAACTCGTTTGTTGGGTTGATTGGGTTGCCATCAACCGTTTTGATTGATTGACGACTCCAGCCAATCACCTGAGTTCGCCTATCATTGTTCTGATTGGTTGTCCCGGAAAAAAAGAAGTTTTTCAGAGCGCATGCTGATGCCTTGAAACAGACAATGAGCGATATCACAATGTATTTATTGATACGTTGGTCCGGGGGGTCTCCAACTAGGATGCCTAATACGACCTATGTGATCGATTCAACTGTTTATTTATGGTTTCCATATTCTCATATCACGTCGTATTTTGACCAAGCTTGACTTTCCCGGTTGGTCTCTGCTTCTTCAAACATTGCACTCCGAGGAAGCCCATCTGATAACAGGGACCACACATGCCCCGGAAATAGTAAGCTTCGTGGTTTGTCGGTTAAAACTGTATGATTTTTTCGCTAAAAACGTTTAAGTTTGTCATGGAACACAAGGAACGTAAAAATACATGTGATAGTTAAAGCAAATGGATGCTACAATCCCCAGGGTAGTTCAAAAGTGAACCGTACCACTTAATCACCTAAAAGCGTATTTTACAAAACGTTTATTGCAACATATACACAAATTGTACTCACTGCTACCTGCTCAACTATATTTCCTAGTCACAGTTAGCCTACGTTACTATCAGGTCACTGTCCGGTCATCCCCATATAAATATATATATATATATATATACATAACACCGGCTTTAGAACAAGCTTGGTGCCAACGCCATAACAATAATAACAATAACAATATCGAGGGGGGGACGGGTTGAGGTACAGAGTAGAGGGAAAAGATGTAGCTGTCAGATTAGAAGATTAGGAATAAGTGGAATAACAATTATTTTGGGTGTATCACCGTACACTTTTTGAAACTTTTTTTTGTTGTTTTCGGGTTTTTGGGCACGGGATTTCGACAGGCATACCATACAGCATTCGCACCACTGAATTCTATTTCAGGCCATATATATCTATCTCCCTGGTCTTTTCTTGGTTAATACCTTACTCGACAATCATAACATACAGAGGGAGCCTCACGGGGTGACATATGATACAGGCAACTAAATATTATATATGTATATGTACATATACAATATAGAGTGAATCAACCCTAGTTAGCAAGCGGGTACATGCAAACAATAAACTAGTAGAAATAGAACTGGAAGGTCTGTTCAATGGGAAGTGGAATGATTGCATCAAAAACTTTAATGGCATACAATCGGGCAACGTTCCACGAAATACAAAATCGGGAGAGTAGCACATTCTTGCAGCAGGTTTCGTTTCCTTTTTCGGGCTACCCATTTGGATCCATTTTTGGCAGTCGAACAAATCGCACTGATAAGTGCGAACCCGTCACCGGGATAAAGCCGTTGCACTAATCTGCATAACTTACCTCAGTAAACCTGCCCGATGAAAGACGTACAGTTCGCTTTCCGGATCTTTTCCCAATCGAATTCGACAATGCTGTGAATTTTAATCAAAAGACAGAAATTTTTTTAAATTTAGAAGACATTTGGATACGGTGATATATTCTGAGTATTTTTTTAACCTCAAATTAAACACAGGGACAATTCTAAATGCTTCTCTTAATTAATAATGAGCGATGATGTTTTTTTCAACATTCATACATTTGCAAAGCTCGCTGTCTGCTCTTTCGGCTTTGCGTGCTGTCTGTGAGCGATTAAAAGTTTTGGCAAATTACAGCATCTGCAAATGAAAAAAGACCTTACATGAAATAAACCATAGAGAAAAACCATTTTAGTAAGTCCATATTCTAGGCAGTGATTTTACAGATACAAATAGGAACAGATCACAAGGGAACTACGTCAAACGTTTTGTACATGAAACAGATATCACTGACATTCATAACCTTTCGCGCTACATTTCACTATTATTATTATTATTATTATTATATAATTCCGCGTGACAAATAATGTACATTTTTAACTTAAATGTAGACATACATACTTACACAAGTTATACAAATACGAATAGAAAAAAGTATGCATTTGAACTGGATGAACCAATGTAGGAAATCAGAGTTTGTGGAGAGAGAGAGAGAGAGAGACGGAAATGACCTCATGACGATTCACTGTGCAAAAGGCGCTTGAAACAGGGGGATTCCTTTGGGAAAAGTGAACACAAGTTTTGTGATTATTAGAATGTTTCAAAATGAATTTATTTGTGGAAATTCAGGGAACGCGATGAAAAATTCTAAGATCACGTTAAGATCTTGTTTAAGTAACCAGAGACTATTTAAGTAAGACAGGGAATACACAGTGCAGCGCAAAAGTCAATATAATTAAGTAAGGTAAACGAGAGACGAGATAGACGCAGATAAAAGAGACCCAGAATTTCTAAAGTGATAAATTGATAAAATTGGGAGATGAAAACGAAAAGGAATCTTCGTACTTCAGCTCCGTTTACATAAGATAATGGATACAACAATATGAAACATCAAGCCGATGAATAAATAAATAGAAAAAAGTATAGATAGATTGGTTTACTGATGAAATAGTTGTTATGTTTTTGATTGAATGATTAATTGATAGGAAGATAGATAGTTTGAGAGTTTTATTGGTTGATGGATTGATTAACTAATTAATTAAGAAACTAATTAACTGATTATTGATTGATTGATTGATTGATTGATTGATTGATTGATTGATTGATTGATTGATTGATTGATTGATTTAATTGCCTATATTTTGTTCATATTCTAGCCAAAACAATCTGAGCAAAGCATCCATTGATCCATCATTTATATCGGTTTCTGAAGAAATAATGAGCCTACTAAGCGAGATTGCAAATGCATTCATTTATTTTTAACTAAGTACAAAAATTACTTAAGTTGCACTCACCGTGAAGTGACGTAACAACGGGAAAACCGGCACCATACGTGGAACGGTAATAATGGCGAAATTTCTCCCGGGAAATTGATCAAACAGCAATGGTAACATGTCAATAAACCTAACCCAAAGATTAATAAAGAGAAAAGTCAAATATTGGATTATGCAAAATAAAATATTATGTCCTGTATCCATTTGGAGACAGCAGATTCAAAAGTATTTCTACTTCAGATTAATTTCAGCATTTGAAAATGAAGTGTTGGATGCTTATGGATCTTGAAACATTGAGTCCGAATTTATCCGATTCGTTAGAACAGAGATAAGGCAAGTAGTGCGAGGTTTTAACATTTATTTTAATCTCCTCAGTCGCTACAACGTAAAACAATCTGGTATTTATACAAGAAGGTTTGTCCGTTGAACCACTGTAGTTATCCAATCTTTCTTGTATAAATGCTAGATTGTTTTACGTTGTGGCGACTGAGGAGATTAAAAGAAGTGGTAACTTCTAGCAGCACTTCCACGTTCACTTATCTAAGGACAATTTGTGGAGAAAATCCAAAACTAATGTAGGTTCGCATTGTGAAATTATCAGTATCCTCGGCAAAAGTTCAAACCATGCACTGATTCCATCTATGCCTTTGTACGGTGGATGCTGTACCAGCTAAGCTACGAGGCCACGCTGACACCACTGATCTTTTCTCACCTAACTTAGTGAAGCACAGAATCCACCAATTCGCACGCAAGTTAAATGCTATGTCAAGTTATTCTTAGAGTCCACCGAACGAACTACTCAGGCTAGGCTGCTGTTTCACAAATCACAAATCACAAATCACTATGTTAGTTTGAATCCAAAGCATGCGGTACTTCTGAATAATAAAAACAGCTAGAATGAAGCTAAACACTTGCCGAGTTTATTTCACTGGATGAACGGCGGTTTGTGTGTGAAAATTAATTCTGAAAGATGTTCAATCAAAATCAATGACAAATATTTCACGCCATTACTCATAATTAATTTTCAGTTGAAAATTAAAACAAATAGTCTAACCAAATAGGTGTCATCTGTCTAAACACGAACTGTGGATTGCTAAGGCTTACAGACAAATAGTAGAATTATGTGTTTATGAGGTTCTTATGCATCAGTGTTAATCGCAACAAATTATTTTATTGAGAATTAATAGGCCTTGAGAATAGTTTGGTACTCTGATAAAATATTGATTATATAGTTCGCTTTTGTCACACAACCATTTTTATTTGACATCTACGTACATAAAATATGGACTAATCCAAGGACAGAATTGCAGCTCTTTTGACCTTCCATGTCGTACTGAGCTGTCGTGAAGTTCTGGGTCATAAACCAGTGCACCCTTATTCACACTTATTCATCTTAATGTCGTGGATCTCTCTTTCGCAACAGATCGGTTTATGGTCTGAAATGCCAGATCGACATTTGATTACGTTGGACAATAGCTTGTTGCAAGTAACATTCTTATGATCAGTGGGGATTTTGCTCCATCGGTATAGACGGGTCGAGGATTAAATCGTCTATAGATGTAGTCTCAATAATAATAAGTGTATTACATTTGTATCACTAACAATACAGTGTAACAGAAACCAAGTACAAATTACCACCGATGGGAACGAATGCAAAATGATTCAATTGTACGTAGCAAATTCTAAGTCGATCTGTTTATTCATTCTTTAACCTACACGGTCGTGTGACAATTTGGATTTCTGTCCTTTGGCCAACCACTAAGGCAGTTAGGGCGGAACGGCTAAATCGAAGAGCACATACTTCAGTGTAATAAAGAGCAGAATAGTTGAAAACCATGGGCAGAGAAACTTGGTTTTAGTTTATTAAAATACGCTCTACGTAGAAAGAAATGCTGGATTCCATGAAGTACTTATGGATTGTGTGTGATGTGAACCTTGTGACAGCAAAATGCATTCTACCACCCAGGTTGAATGGTAGTAGTTCCAGTCAAATCTCAGACTCTAACATCCGAGGCTAGCGCCTGGCATTGCCCAAAACACCTTTTTCACGACTGTGGAAGAGTGCTTCAAGAATTTTTCCTGAATTCTTCAAACCGACGAGTGATGAAACTGGAATACTGATCCTTCGTCTCCCCACCAAGTTTGAACCATCTTTTGGCATTCAACTAATGATTCAACGATTGCCCGTATTAAATTTCTCACTACAACTTCCCCAGTTACCTCTTTCTTG